TATGACTGTTGTGGTGTTACGTGCAAGAACCATCCCAACAGAGAAGGTTCAGGCTGCTACTGCCAAAACTAAGTGGAAGCAGTGGGCAAGGCACGGCCACAGGGGAGGATGGGGTGGGAGCCACTCGCTGGTGGTGGGAGCACACTTACCGAGGTCCTGCTTCTGGCCCCCTGTGTGGGAGGAAAGAGAAGGATGGGTGAGGAACCCCCCATCTCTGTGGATCCTTTCATTTATTACTCATTTACTCAGCATGCTAATGGTTGGTAAACAACCAATAATGGGCTCCCAGGGTGTACCCCATGCCCCCGGGAGACCAAGCCCGTGCCAGCCCCACTCACTAGCTGCTGCTTGCTCAGCTTTTCCCCTGCTTCTGAGCTTAGGCAAAGAAATCTAAGGGTTTATAACTGAAGTCATAAAAGGGCTTCAGCAAATTAAAGGCCCCAAGGAGATGCAGTTTGCTCAGGACCGCAGTAGCCGTCACGGCTCGGCAGTGCTGGTAAAGATTCAACTTACCCACGAGGGCGAGCACCAGGGCCAGGATGAGTCCCTTCATGCTAAAAGCAACTGAAGACTGCAGGGGAGAATGTGTGGCTTTTATAGAAGAATTATTGACAGGCATAGTGAATTTTGTTGAGTTATCAACTTTTTATCAACCACTAAAACTCTTTGAGGGAGAGAGGGTCAGGGACAAGGCGCCGGTTATTATTGCTCAGCCAGACCCATCACAAGCACTTTTGTTCTCACTTCACCACCTGAATGCTCTGAAAGTACAGTCTGAAACAAAAACTTAAGAGTATTAAAATATAGTTAAAGCCAAAATATTTATTGTCTAAGAAAAACCACTAGTTATCCATATTCACTGGAAGCACCCGGTGCTATTGCAGTCCACGCTGACTTTGCACAGGTCATCCTGACCTGACCATGGGGCACACGGCTTATCTAACTGATAGTGCCCCGGCAGGATTGTGCAAAACGCCCGGGCAGCCCTGCTGTGACACCGTGCCGACACCCGCACTGCCGCGAGCAGGACAGGCTGTCACTCGCAGTGCTGCTCTCCAAGGATAGGGACGTCACCCCGTGAGACAAACCTCCCGTCATTGTCACAAAGGCCACGGCTAAGCGCTGCTGATGTTCACGCGTCCCTCACCTGCCTTCTCTTACAGGGCT